CCATCCTGGACGCTCAGGCCCGCGACGGGTCTCATCTCCGCCCCAGCATGCTCCATTGCAGAGTTTGACCGGCGCGACTTGGTCCAGATAGTAGGCCCCCCCGCACAAGCATACTAGATTGTTGCTTGCCTGTCCTATCAGCACGAACGAGATGCGTACGGAAAGCATGGGTACGAAGGCCGACAGCAGTTCCTGTGCGTTTCGAACAGGACTCGCTGTCGCTGTCGCCGTGGAGGTTGCCCATTTGAGACACACGGCCGCCTGCCCAACACCTTCCGCTGTCGGTGTTGGACAACAGTTGTTGCTAGGCATCGTACCCATTTTTCCCGGACCCGTTTCGGGAGTCCAGACCCTAGCAGTCCGTCTGTCAACAACACCAGGCGGGGGAAAATGCGGCCACGGTCCCAGCGGCCACCAGACGCTCCTCGGTATTTCGGCAGACGGCGCCTTCCGCACAGCAGGGAAGAAGCGAGTGCACCCCCCTGCTATGCGCGCTGCAAAAAGTCAGGCCATGCTCGATTCTTCGGCAGCAACTGACGGGAGCCTCTCATACAATCTTGCCGGCTCCTGTGAATCGACGCTAACCGACGCTGAATCGACGCTCATCGACGCGAAATCGACGCTGAATCGGCGGTATCTCATCGACTCCCAGACGCCAATCGACGCTAGTCGACGCTAAGAACGGATTCACGAGGGAATACCAGGCTCACATGATTAGCTACCGAACGATTCGATGTTACCTTCGCTAGAGCTTGATCTAAAAGATGGTTCGGCGCAGTGTCATATGCTTCTCAGGTTATTCGCTGCCTCGGCAGCCATTGATACCGACGCTCCTTCCCTTGGCCTAGGCTTTGCAGCTGGCAGGTCTGACCGACAACACGCCTTCATTTCACGCCTCAAGTCGGCGTTGCATCCAGGTCAGGATGGGGCAGGGCTGGAACTAAAGGTTGATGTTCGTGTTGTGTTCGTGTTGTTGTTCGTTTTGCTCTGCCTGTTGTCCTGTAACTCCCTCCCAAACCGAACAGCTAAACATAGCCGAAGTCGCCGAAGTCCAGCAAAACAGCAGTTAGGTCCAGCCCTGGGATGGGGCCTGAACCATAGCTACCAGAGCCTGCTCGCCAGCCTGAACCATAGCTACCACAGGAGGAAGACCCTTTTGGATCCACCCCGCCCTCCCCGCCCCCTCCCCGCCATTCGCCTCCTCCACCTCACACTCTCCCGTTCAGCTTTCGGCTGCAGTGCTCGTTCGTATCGCTCCCAACAAAGCAGAAGCCCTCAGAAGGAGACGTGCTCGAGCTGTGGAGGCACGCAGATTACCCATACAGACTGTCAATGTTTCCCGGCCTCCTCCAGAGCTACAGTCCAGACAGCCCAGAGAATCGGTGCAAGCGAACCTTCACATGTGGTTTAGGTGGCGACATTCGAACCCGCCCCTCACCAACCATCGATTCTTCTGAATCGATGGGAGGCGGGGGTAGGGTTCAGATTTCGCCACGTGTTCCACGAATTCCGAATCCTACCCGCGCCGCCCATCGAGTTGCCTGAATCGTTGATCGGCAAGGTCGCCACCGATGGTTCCAGGATTCTACGGCAGGCAGCTTGTGATGAGGGGAGCGAAAGACAGTGTGGAAGGGGGGAGGGAGGGAGAGAGTCCCGCCGCCCGTGTGCGGATTGGGCCCTGCCCCTCAATTCTGGCGCCCAGGAACGCCCAGCGCGCGCCCCTGCCGTGAAACGGAAAGAAGGATCATAATGTCAGTTGGGGGGTGGTGGTTGTCGTGGTTAGGGACGTCCATACTCCCGATCGTTTCTCTAATGTGTGCCGAGCTTCTTCCATGAACGTAAGGCTTGCCTCACGGCCCGTCAGAGGGCCCCGTGGTCTGCAGGATAATCAGAGTGAGGGGGCCGAACGGTCATTCCTTGTCCCTGGGTGCGTGGCTGAAGTGAGATTCCGCGGTGCGGATTCGTGTTGTTGTTGTTGTTGTTTGTTGTTGTTGTTTGTTGTCGTCGTCCCACCCGCAACCCGCCCGCGACCCACCCGCGACCCACCCCGCGACCCACCCGCGACCCACCCGCGACCCACCCGCGACCCACCCGCGACCCACCCCGCGACCCACCCGCGACCCACCCGCGACCCCGCGACCCACCTGCGACCCACCCGCGACCCACCCGCGACCCCGCGACCCCCGCGACCACCCCGCGGCCGCACCCCGCGACCCACCCGCGACCCGCCCGCGACCCACCCGCGACCCACCCGCGACCCACCCGCGACTCACCCCGCGACCCACCCGCGACCCACCTTCGACCCAAACCACGTTCAAGGTACAAACCAACATTTTCGGCGCCTGCGGCGGGCTTTTTTTGCATTCCTTCCAGGTGGAGAGCCCGCGACCCACCCCGCGATCAACTCGCGACCAACCCGCGACCCAAACCACGTTCAGGGTACAAACCACATTTTTCGGCGCCTGCGGCGGGCATCTTTTGAATCGTTCTAGGTGGAGAGACCGCGGCCCACCCGCGACCACGTTCAGGGTACAAACCAATTTTTTCGGCGCCTGCGGCGAGCATCTTTTGCATTCGTTCCCGGTGGAGAACCCGCGGCCCACCCGCGACCCAAACC